TATACTACTACTATACTACTACTACTACTACTAACTACTTACTCTCTCTCTCTCTCTCTCTCTCTCTCTCTCTCTCTCTCTCTCTCTCTCTCTGTGTGTGTGCGTGTGTGTGTGTGTGTGTGTGTGTGTGTCCTTAGTGGCATTGGTAGGAACTCCTGATAAAATTTGCAAGTCAGATTGGGGCTAGGTTCACATAGCCTTCTGGAACAACATTCCCCCAAAGATCCACAGCCCCAACACTGCCTGCCTTCAAGAAAGTTCTGAAAACCTTTTTCTTTTTGCAGAAACTGGGCACGGACATTAGGGGAATCTACCAGCAAGGTTCTGTGAGGGGAAACTGTATGGTTTTCCCCCTGATATGGCTGTTGGAATTTCATTTTAATTGCTATATTGTTTTTAACCCATGTTAGCTGCCCAGAGTCATGTACAAATCGGTGACTATGCAAGTTAAAATCTTAGATAAATTATAACTTATAATTTAAGTTGGGTAATTAGTAGTTTACATGCTATGGGTGCCAGCCTTTGTTTAGTACACTGCATGAGCCAAAGCTTGAATACAACGATTTGTTTAGACACGCAGTCATATGATGTCCAAACATAAGCATTATATTTTGTTATCTTGGGCTGGCAGTTGTGTGAAGCCATCTAAACAGACATAGCAAAAAATACCAAAGTCAAAGGTAGTTAAACTGAAAAACAATTATGTATACAGTTCTGCACATTAACTTTTGGGCAAAGTTTATTCAGTGGAATTTACTTTTGAGTAAACTATGCAAAACATTGCACTGTTTATACCGTAAACCAGTATTCGGGTTATGAAAGAAGGAATAGACTTTGTAAATGCAATGTTTTCTGCTGTAGTCTGGATTTTGGATTTTTTTTTTCTGCCGTGTGGATTATACCATAGCATCCAGTATTACATTCATATAAGTACAGGAAAGAATGACATAAACGCTTATATGTACAGTTGTTTGACATCTAAATGCAAGTTGGCATATGCCTGCAGGGACACAAACACATTCATCCAAGGTGGATTTGCAAAATGTCTTACAGATATGTACTTCTCCATCAATAATAAAAACTGATTTTTTTGTCATTGCCTCCCCCTAGTGGAGAATCATTAAAGTGGGACTATGTTCATAGTCTTTTCCTAAAACTATTGTTAATACCATCAATCTGCATAACAATGAGCAGAGGTATATGGAAAATCATCAATGGCTCACTTAGAAGTTGTAAAGGAAACTAGTGGGACTTATAAGAAAGCATCACTTCTGGCTTTTTATCCATTCCAGTCCTCCTCCCCCTGGTTTTTTAAGCTCCACTGAAGCCTCCAGTCTCTTAGTTATTTTAGTTTAATGAGTTCCCTCAAGCCTGTGAATACTCCCTCTTGGCCACAGGCACTGTCAATGGATCAGCATTTCCAAGCTGAGTTCCCTATTAGCTTACATAAAATACAATGAACTACAAGCAGAGTAATGAACGTTCCCTTTTATTCATCTCCTTTCTTTCATAAGCAAAATGAGCCTGAAATTATGAGTAAGCAAGATAGGGTAGATTCATTCACTTGCAGATATGACCTAGCAATTCTGCAATAATGTTTTGATAGGTGAAAATAATTACTCCATGAATAGGGGACTCTGAAGTAGTTGGGGTTGGGATCACACCTGGATTTTTTGGGGGAAGGGAATATAATGTCTCATAATTAGCCATATGTTTGTTCTAAGGAAACATTATAGACAAACATATTTATGAATGAGTCCAGGACTTAAGGATCAATGTCTTAAACCCAAATCTCCAGAAAATACATTGGCTGTGAGATGCACTATGAAGCCCTCAACCACCTGTCTACTCTGCTTGCCAGTTTGAAAGTTATACACAGATAAATCTTAAGCTGTTTTCTTTCTGCCTAATCCTGATGAAACATGTACACAGCAAAAGATGAGAAATAGATTTTATTATACATTTGTGTTTTCCATATAAAAATATGTTGTGTACTCAGTATAATATACTCTAAGTGTTTTATCTCAAGCTTGTAATGTAGTTCATTACTATATCTTGGAAGAACTAAATTCGTGTTACATATTTCTCTATAGAGTGCACAAGCAACAATTTTCTAACAGCTATAGGACTGGGAACTGAAGCCCCTTGCCTCTCACTTAACCAAAATCAGATGCAAAACAATTCAAATTTTAAAGAAAATGGTATCAATTCATATATCATAACTTGCTTTTCCAGAGGTTTCTGGAATTATTCCTGTTTCCATCATCTCACACCTCCTGCTTCAGGCTGTACTCCTATAGATTCAGTAGCGACTGCCCTAGTAACACAGTAGACTTACGAGAGAATAGACATGTAGTTTACACTCCAAGGTGCTTTTCCAGAAAATGTATATTAGACACACATATTTTGAGATACATATTTAGATACATATTGTTTAAATGATAGAAGAAATAAGACTTCGGAGGTTTGATTACCATGCCTTCAGCTTCCTAGTCTGGAGAAACAGGATAACAAAAGGTTACCCTGTTTATCACAGCATTAAGCAGGGGACCCATATCATCCCACTCTGTAGATAATTCAGACATAAAAATAGCTTGTTTTATGTAAGGAATCCTCAGACAGTATTCCACTGTCAGATTATGGTACAGCCACAGCAGCATCTTTCTGGATAGTCTAGGGCATAGACCTTGTTCTCCATTCCGTAGATATAGTAAATATATGACTTTGCAGCATATTGGTAGTGGACTTCAGTCATAGGAATTAGCTCTATGGTCTGTCGCTGAGAAAAAAAAAAAGAAAATATAACTGTAATCAGATATAATGGCGTCCTCATGTTGAGGTCTTATCTTCCACAAAAGAATGGCTCTGTGCTCTCTACTGGGAATTCTATCTCTTGTTTTATCAAAAGAAATGCACACTTTGTGCGTGCACAGTGAGCGTCTCATGAATATTATTTTAGTTGAGCTTTCTGACATGCTAATGTGGACTCTAGAGTTATGCGTTTGTTTTAAACACCTTTTATCTTATAATAATATAGAATAAAAACTTTACTATTACAAAAAATTTACTATGTACAACAGTAAAAGGCAGAAAATAAAATAGATAATGCTAGTATATTTTGTGTTCCCTACTTCTCTTTCTGTGTGTGTATTTTGCATGTATAGAAAATATATAGTAAGAAACAAGTGGATTGTAGACTATGGAATTTTTATCTGCAGAGTTAATATACTAGATATAATTTGGGGGGAGCTCTCTATTTTGTATGGCATAAATGTATCAGGAGACTTTCTATTAAGGGATTTGGCAAACTGTGCCTATGTCTGCTAAATGTGCCACTCGCCAGAGAAAAATTACCTGGAAGACCAAGTATGGATTTGTGGATTCTGACTTCTAAAGCCATCATGGTATAAAAAACTCGACAAAGTTTTTAGAGTTTAGGTGGGGCAGATTATAAAATGCATATCATATCTTTCAGTTTCCTGGGTTTTTGAAGCACAAGTCAAAACTGGAAATATTCAATAATTGTCACTTTAAACTGAAATTATTATTGAATATGTTCCTATATATAAGCATGATACATTTGACGCCCCCTCCCACACAATCTAAAATAACATATAAGAGTGCTGACTGTATAACGGACATATAGAATTTGCTGAGTCACTCAGCAGGTGGACAGCTAATACGATCAGAGTGGCTATCCCACAAAATACTGCTTTACTGGGCTGGCTGCTATAGGTGACGGACAACATAAGGACTTGCATTTTTCTGCCATATGAGAACAGATTTGTTGATGTGATTCTTGTGCATGGAAGAAATATGTTTTACAGAAGGCACATACTCTGCAATGTTCTTGCAACTTTACCACATAATTGTTTTGTTCACAGGGATAAAAGAAGAAGGATAAATGTAATTATTGTTTTAATACATTGCTTAAGTACCTAACCATTATGACTGCATGATTCCTCCTAGGGCCACCCTGATATGCCAGAAGTTCTATATCAGATGGAAAACGCAGCTCTCTCTCAAGCTTTCTCACTCCACAACTCCAGGCAACACTGGCATAAGAAAGAGCTCCATCATGAGAACCTTCACAGATTTGAGCAATATTGTTCCTTCAGTCTTGGAGAGATATTGGCCAGGGTCAGATGTCACACTAAGCCAGTGTACTTCTTTTTGGTTTAGGCAAACCAAGTATTGCATCATTAGATATCAAAAACTTTGAGGTTCTTTGGCTCTCCCTTGATACCCCATGGACACCTATGCCATGTCCCATGGACTCCATGCAGATCCCAGTCCTCTTCCTCGGTTCCTGCTATTGACATTCAGCAGGAAAAAAGTGGAAGCTTTTTTTGTGCCATTATTTTGGGGGGCTTGTTTGGTTTTTGCATAACTAAATATAACAATGGGAAAGGTAAGTTCTGCAAGATAAATTATTCACACACACATACACACTCCTGGGGGAGGCGAAGTAGTCATTATTATTGTTAGTCACACAGTCAGCCAGATGTTTAGACTGGATTTGGCATTTTTATCTATCTATTGAGTCCTTCCCAAGGACCG